CAAACGTTTCTGGAAAATCTCCCAACAACAGATGCTCAATAAATGTTGACAGGTTCACAGCAGACCCCCAACCAACATCCACTAAATGAACAAAATAACAACATTCTTAAATCAGAAATTCTAACTCTGGAGCATGGATGCTTAAGAATTCCATAATACCCTAGAAATCATATCCAAATTTTGTGTATATATGTGCATCTGTATATTTTCTGGAGAGATTTTCAAAAAAGAGTAAAAATCTCTGGGCTCCACTAGTGGGAAGAGCACTGAACAGGCAACCAAGAAACCTGGGCTCTAACCCGACTCCAGGACTAACAGCTTTAAGACATCGAGCACGTGGCATTCAGCCTTCTCATTGTGGAGTTAGGGCATCTCTAGTATTCATTCTTTCACTGCACGCACACACACACACACAAACCCATGGGTATTGCCAGTAGTCTAGACAATACCACAAACGTTATATGCCAAGATCGGTGTTCCAGAACTTAGGGAAGTGCCCAGGACATGGTGAAAGCTTAACAAACAGGGCTTAAATCAGTGAATAAATTAAACTCTCAAACAGAATTTTTTTTTTTGGCATCGGCCCAAGCTGCCAATCTGAGCACAAGTTAACTTACTCAGGAAGATCACTTCATTCTCTGTACATCAATGTCCTTGTCTGTCATGAAGTTCTTGAGAGAATATGATTGGCCTAGCCGTTTCCATGACAACCAACTTTAAGGACTAAGTTCAAAATCTTAGTACTGCTATTAACCACACAGCTTCACAGTTAACCTAAGACACCAGACGGCACCATGCTCACTCCCATTGCTTCTCTTCTCCACACACTGAGATCAGGGCTTGGCAGACTTCCTCTATGAAGGGCCAGACAATAAATCTTTTCAGTTTCGTAGGCCATACGGTCTCTGTCGCAACTGTTCAACTCTGCCACTGTAGGGCAAAGCAGCCACAGAAAAAATGTAAACGAATGAGTGTTGCTGAGCTCCAATAAAACTTTGTTCATGAAGTGAAATTTGAATTTCGTATAACTTTTATGTGTCACAAAACATTTGATTTTTTGTTTAAACCACTTAAAAATGTAAAACCACTCTTAGCTCGAGGACTATCAAAACCAGCGGGCAGGGTGGAGTCCCCTGTCCTCCAGGTCTTTTCCTGAGGTGCGACTGACTCGGGGTTCAGAGGCTGGAAAGGAGCAGGAGGGGCTGAGGGGGCTTTTTGAAAGGCCCCGGAGAAGCGTTGGCTGGCTTCTCTGCTCTTTTTCTTCTTGCCTCCATTTTTAACTTAGACAAAATTTGAAATTAATGAGATAGCAAAAACTCTGAAGCACACCTGTTACTATCTAATCATAAAATAGGTTTTTACTTCTTAACAAATTACATTATTAGTCTTCTCATTACAGATATAATTTCTCTATCATTTTTGTTGAAATACAATTCTACTCTTCCCTCCATCCTCCTGACTCAAAATTTGTTGCCTGAATGAATAACATGCAAACAGAAGCAGTGAACTCTCAGTTTTCATCTATAATGGGGGGGTGGGGGGGAGGGAACTATTTAAAAGATTAACAATACTGCAATTTAAAAAGCTAGGAAGAAACATACTCCTGACGGTTATGTAAATTAGTACAACCCTTCTGGAGAACTGATAAGGAAAATCTACCAAATATTAAAATGTACAAAATAACTTCTGACTTAACAATTTATCTTAAGAAGATAACCAGACAAGTCAGCAAATGTGTATACAGAATGAGTTTCATACTTTGAATAATTAAAAACAAGAAAAAATTAAAACAACAAGTATCCAACTGCTTGAACAGTAGGAGGATACAACAGAATTCGAAGTGGCATAAGAAATAATGCTGTAGATAAGCATTTGACACAGATATGGCCATAAGATACTGAAAGAAAAAAGTATGTCAAAAATGACATGTTCTGTTTGATCTCCATTGCATGAAATGTCTATATATGGTGTTGGTATCTGTACCGGTGAATGTGAGAGACAGAAGAAAAACAGAGGCTGAGAAACAGAATTAAAAGAATGTTCACCAAGAAGTTCGCAGATGATTTTACTTTGTTTATAGTTTTCTGTACTATTTATATTATTTTGCAATGAACGTGTACTACCTTTATAATTTTTTAAAAAGTCACTAGAATGTACAACACTAGGAGTGTGCAACCCTCATTTAACTGTGGACTGTAAGTGGTAACGATGTGTCAATGTTGGTTCATCAATTGTAACAAATGCTCCACTCTGGTCAGGATCTTGACAGTGGGAGATGTTATGTAGGAACTCTCTGTACTTTCTCCTCAATTTTGCTGTGAACTCGAAACTGCTCTAAAAAATAAAGTCTATTAAATAAAAGACTTGTTAAAATAACTCATATGCCAACAATTCAAAAGTTCTGTTCCTCAGAAGCAATTTGAGCCCCGCAGAAGTGACTCTGAAAGGCATTCATCAGAAGCAGTTGTAGAGTACTGCAGATTGCTCTCAGCGTGTGTGGGGCCGTCAAGCCAAGTATGACATGAAGCCCAACATTTCAGCTGGCTAGCACTTTCCCGCCAGAAACTGATCAAAGAATGTTCTCCTCTTTGGAGAACCTGGCTGTTTTGTGCATTCCCCACTCCTGTAATTTCTCACTTAATAGAATGTTTTCAGTGAAAGCTTAAGACTGAATTAGACAATCAGGGCTCAAGAAAAGCAATTTAACACTTTGTCTTTGATTAGCTTTCAAACAGAGTTCTAGCTGGGGCAAAAGAACAGGCTGCTAAAAAAGATAAGCTGTTCTTAAGGGGCTTTAATAGAAGAACAAATGCCAAGATGAGATTTTAATGATAAGCAGTTTCTATGACATTAAAAAGAGGTCCTCCGATGCAAGTCTGAGGATAAGACCAAGAAGGCTGGAATAAATTAATGAGGAAATATGAAATTTTACCTGGATTCTTACTTTCTTCTTTATAAGAAATATATACATTATAATTTATGTACCCTATACTTTGCCAAATGCATACTTCTATATGTTTACATTATATATATGTACATATACACACACACACCTTTTAACAGAGCAAAAGGCTTAAAAATTTCTGTAAGGAACATATACTTTGTAGCTGGAACTATCTGAATGACATCCAGATTTTTCCTTTAAATTGCAGGAAGAAAAAGCCAGCCCTGATAAGCACTAAATCTTTAAATCTGACCAACAAGAGCTTGCAAGGTCATAAGATTCACAACTGGGGTAGTATGTAAGTTAGAAGCCTCTTAAGCAAACAGTGGAATGTTAACAGGTTTAGAAATCAAATCCCTAATATGCCATGGCTCCAATCACAATTTTCACCAAGCTACTACAAATTCACATTATGTATGAATTTCCATACAAATGAAGCTTAATGGACAAAAGGCACTGTTAACAATTTATATGACATGCCCAACAACACCAAACTGTTGTTTTGGGTAAAACAGGTACCATAAACTCAGGTTTACTATCAATGGCATTTGTTCAAGCTTAACGTTCTGCACACAGAACCCGAGCATGCATCTCCTGGGTCCCTGACATCCTCACTCTGACGAGTGCTGATCTGGGAGGGAATATTTGTTAGTTTCCCTTGGGAAACTGCTAAAATTAAAAATGTTGTTTATTTTGGAGCATAATTTCGTGGTCAAGAAATATGTAATCACTCGGGATAATATCATTTTTTTGGCTGGGCAGTTTTTCTACAACTCTGGCACCCTTTTACTTCAAAAGTGGTGAAAAAGCATAATGTAAATTATTCTCATGGTAAACCTTCATTTCCTAAGGCCTCTTGGGTTTTCTTTAAATTTATTACAAGGGAGTCACAAAAACAAAACAAAACAAAAACAAAAAACAAAGAAACAAAATTACTGGGATAAACTGTTGGAATTTTCGAGTTAAGAAACAGTGCTTATGTCATTGAGGAGAACAGCAATATACTTCAAATGCACAAATGCCACAGAACTTCTTGTTGGAAAGTGTCCAGACGTTTCCTAGGCATATTTTATTTTTAGGTTTTTATATGTTCACATCTGAAACAGATGCGATTCAATTTAAGACAATGAGATAGGAATGCTTTTCCTCACCACAGAAACACTTCACTCGCTTTAAAAAGGAGCCGCAGCACTGAGGTCCTCTAAGCAGGTGAGGCGCATGCCCGGACGGACACCCAGACTGATGCTGAATGGGCATGCAACTCTCCAGAAAACAATAAAAATGTACTTTATCTTCATAGCTATCCTAAAGAGATAGTTTCTACTCTCTCCATTTTAAAATTGAGGTTAAGTACGCTGCCCAGGGTCACAAAGCTAATGGCAGGATTTGGACGCAGGCAATCCAATGAAGCATTTCCGTCTCACTGCTGGGCAGGAGACGCGGGCTCCTGTTCTGCACCGACACCACTGTCAACGTGTGGGCCCCACAGGGAGGAGCAGTTCACGTCTGTTCTTGACCCTTTCACCTCTGTAAGGCGTGTGCCAATGCTCTGCTCTGTGTTCCAGAATTGTTGGGAGAACACAGAGTGACCAGAAAGAAAGGCTTCTGAAAAATACTAAGTGCTATATAAACATGCCACGTGCTAAATGTATTCAACTCTGAATATTCCAGCAAAACAGAGATGACTTTCTAAAGTACAGAAAAGACCCTAATGGTGTTTTTTTGCAGCCACCATGGGGTGTCTCCCTGGAAACCTGTAAAGTGACAGACCAAAGTCTTGGCTGCAAAGCAAACACCCTGAACGAGGCAATATAAAGAGTGGATTTGACATTTATTGTTGAGGATGGATGGCCAAGCAGTCTCAAAATGCAAATATAAATAGCGGTCTGTATCCAAGGAAGTACATGTTCTCCTTGATAAAAATATTCCTGATTTTAAAGAGCACATTAAAAAGGTTGTTTTAATTTCAAAATGTCAAATCCTAAGAGAAGAGAATGATTTTTTTAAAAAAAAAGTATAGAACTCTGATAAACAAAGAACCAGAATTCTTTCTTACCTCCCACATGTATACATTATTCTTAACCTGAGATCTTTTTTTCTTATCACCAACAAATGGCCCAAACTTTTTGCCTTTTAAAATTGGTTTAGTGGCCCAGACACCTAGAAAATAAAACCGATATTTTTATAACATATGTGGTTATTTTAAAGATTGAAGCATTAACATCAATTCAATTTCACAAAATAGTTAAAAAGCTAGACAACCTAAAAGCAAGATAACATTGAATCGACTAAAATCAAGTGAAATCAAATGCAGTCTTCAGTGGTGATTTTCTCTTCCTCTTTACATTCTTCTGTGCTTTCCAAATAGCCTGTAAAGAACCTATTTTTTTATAGCAGAAACGAATGTTTTACATTTGCTTGTTTTAAATTTTTACATGTGAAATTACCCAGAAAAGAATGTTTTTTTATAGCAGAAAAGAATGTTTTATATTTGTTTTTAATTTTTACATGTAAAATTACCCAGACAATACAATCACAAATATTTGGAGAATAGCACAATCACAACAATTAAAAAAAAAAATACCAGAATGTAGAGAAACTACAAATAACTTTTAAACTCCTCTTTCTACTTTCCTACAGATTTCAAATTGTCTCAAATGAACAGAGTTGCTTTTATAAAAAGTTAGAAATATAGTTTTATGAATAAATATTTTGGAAGTTTGTTCAAAGTGAAAACCTTCCCTCTCTTGCTAAGTTTCCTGAAAACTTAGCTACTGAAACAACTCACTTTTCCGAGTTTCAAAGAGCCAAGATTTTATGCTGCCCTGTGGTATTCTTAGGGGTATTTCTATTTCCTCTGCACTGACCATAAGGCAAACAGACAAGATGAAGCAGCAGTGGCTAAAATGGCAGGAGACCACCCCGAGTCAAGGGAACCAGTGCCCTTGCAGTGACTCAGTGATGACACCCCTGGACAGGTTCCCTCATTTTCTGGCCTCACTTCCTCATGTACAGAAAGAGCGTGGAGTCTCAGCCAGTCCTGTTCAGCCAGGATGTAAGAATTCCGCTTTTCTGTAAGTCTGTTCTGAATCTGGTTTGACAACGCAGCTAATATCAACTAGCGGGTCTATAAGATAAACCACTTTCATGTGAATGATACAATTTACACACTCAAGTTACTCACTGAATAATTTTCCATGAGAATGAAAAAAAAGCACTTAAAGATTTATTCACACACACATACACATAAACTGAAATATTTGAAGTACATCTTAAAAAAATAGAAATAGGACATAAACATGTACTTTGACTAAATTTTTATAATTTACTTCCTTAGCCTTCTGACTAAAGATTAGGACACAAAAACAAGACCAAATACACAAAAACTCGGCTTGTACTTGATAAGAAATCCCAGCCTAAAACATTCAGATACACTTAAGGCATCACTCATTCAAATATCTACTGAGGTCCAAAAAATGTCAGGTACTGGAGACACAGAGATAAATAAGAATGAAAGTCTTCACAAGCAATAGAAGGGACAGATGGGAAAACAAGAACAAAATAATGAAATAAATGTAATCGCACAATCCCACTCAAGTCATAGTGAAATCAGAGGCAAGGGAGCAACGCATCCTGTGGGAAGAACAGCCCTGGGGAAACGCGCGGGAAGCAGGGCGCTTAGGCTGAGTCACAAAGGATGGTGGGTGTGCCGATGTTTCTGGTTTAACTTCGCCATCTGTCCACCCTGGATTCTTGACTAGAAATTGCATAAATATCACATAATCTTCTAAGTCAGAGTATACCTCTGTTGCTTTTATAGTGAGCTTCCTACCTTAAATGTCCCAAAGGAAGCCTGGCTGCAGCCCGCTCTCCCTTCCCTGTCTCTTCTGTAACCCTAATACTCACCAATCCGAGTCTTGTCAACAGCAGATGGGAAAAGCCTCACTTCCTCCGGAAGTCCTCGAAGCACGTGTTCAGGTACCTCGGCCAGGGTCTCAGCAGCTGCCCCAGACTCAGTAGTGTTCTGCAGGTCAAGAAACAGAAGGACCACAGCAAAAGGAAGAAAACCAGTTAGTGTTTTGTTTTTTCCCTGGTCCACTAAGCAAGTATGCAAAAATATAACTGAAAGCTGAAACCAGCAAAGCAAACCAAGACGATGATGTCAAGCATTTCGGGAGTTGCTTTGATGCTTGTTTATGAGTCTCCAAAGGAAACCACTGCAACCTTCAAGCATGTTTGTGTTCATCTATTTTGTTCCTGCCACCTGTAGCCATTTGCAAAATATGTAAATCCCTGGCACCATATTGCTATAAACTCTCAGAGAATCTGGCAGTAAAATACAGCTTAAGCTTACTTTTAAAAAGTCAAAGGCTACCATTAGCATTTTAAAACAGTTAAAAACTCAAAGTCGGCACTCCCTACTTAAATGAACACTTTCAGCACATACTGTAAGGGCCATGCCAGCCAACTGGACCCCATCCAATCTGTGCTTTCATTCTTTAGCAATGACACCCCTTGACAGGGGCTTGAAAATTCCAACCATGAACACAATTTGTTCTGGAACTTCAATGGAAGTGCGACCTTTCCAGGAAACAGCAATTTGCCACTGTCTACCAAGTAATTAAATAGCAAAGTCACCACAGTATCACAAACTCTCTAAGAAATAGAGAATTTTATACAATTACTAACCAAAGTTTATGCTAAAATTCACTATCATCTTAACAAATAAGATTATCATTAGATATGTATATAAGGAAATAAAAACGGGAGATTTGAACCAACTGGTAAAACACGACTGTTATTTTCAAAATAACTTTTAAATCAAAAGAAAACCAAGTGTCTATTAATTGGTACCACGTACACCCTGAAGACCTAATATATCATGATACTGCCAAGAATGATGGGTTTTGTAGTCAGAGTGTATTTTATTTCACTGCAAAGGGAAACATTTCTGAAGGACATTCAAAGAAACCAATGTAGGCAAAAAGTAAACTCTAAGCTAAAAAAGATTAATTTTCTTACAACAATGAAACTCTTGTAGTTTTTAAGAATGCTTTGTGCCAAGAAAAGAATATCATCCAAACTTGAGTACTCCCAGCATTTCAAAATTTTTTAAATTATCAATAGGCTGCTTCAAGAGAAATAAACCCCACAGCAACGAGCAAGTCACCACGAAGCTCTTCCCAGCCTGCCTTGTGTTGGAGTGTGTGAAAGGGGCATCTGAAAGCTTGGGTTCATTTCCTGGACGGGGCAAAGCTGAGAGAGTGTATGCTTCAGAAGCACAAATGCTTCAATCCTACTTGATTTACTTGGTCCCAACGAGATCACCAAGCACAAGTTAAATGTCTCCCAAAATGTAGGACTAAGAAAAGTGCCCCAGAAAACAGTCTTCTGGTATTTCTAAATAGCTAAAGTGTGAAAATTTCTCACTTCTAAATATAGTGCCCCCATTTTTTAAAGTTTAATCTATAAACTAGAAATTTGGAAATGTGAACACATTTTTTTTCCAAAAGGAGGAAAAGTATTAAATTGGTAGTTGGTACCTTAGGCTATAAATTATTTAACACTGAGAAACTAAGCAATATTAACAAGCACCAGGCAGAGTTGTGAGTTCTATTAACACTTAGCCACTTATCACAATAAGAGAGAGTTTTTTTTCCCGTTTTTCAGACAGGAACGTAGACAGAGATTTTAAAGGACTTGACATCGTTTGACCTCCCCAGGAGCTATGGAAACACGGCGTTGTCAGCTAATCTACAGGGACACTTCCAGGCACTGTTCTGGTACTAACAACAAGCCAGATCGCACTGAGAACCTCTTCAGGGTCTCCTTGCAAGGCGCTGTGCTAACCAACCATCTCACACGCATGACAGAGTTTACTCCGAACAGGCCAAGAGGCAGGGACCGTTGGTGCCTCCGCCCAGACACCCCCCAAACTAGCCCCCCCAATATACATACATACATACATACATACATACACACACACACACAGACACACACACACACACACACACACACACACACACACACACACAGAGTAAACTGAAGTTTAGGCAAGTTGTCAATGGTGCTCGAAGCCACAATTTGAACCTCTGTCTGACCCCAGAGCCAAGTTCATAACCACTGTGGTGTTTCCAGTTAAGATTCTGCTGGATAAGGCCTGAGGATCTCGTGTAAAACATGGTGACTATAGCTAATAACACTGTATTACAGAAAAGAAATCTGCTAAGAGAGTAGAACTTAAATGTTCTCACCAAATAAATAAGAGAGGTGATAGATGTGTTAATTAACTGTGTGGTAGAAATCCTTCCACAATGTACACATATAACAAATCACCACCACATCGTACACTTTAAATACTTTAATTTTATTTGTCAATTATATCTCAATCGTGTTGGAAAAAAATCCTGCTGGAACATAATCTAAGAACCTCTGACCTCAAACCTCCAAACGTCCAGAACATCAACAGGAGATGGTGCCTAAGGCGAAAATGGTCATCCCCACAGGAAATTTCTAACTTGAGCATGAGATGGAGACCGGGTGTATTAAAATTTGTGAAAAACCTGTGAATATCAAGGACTCGAGCAGAGCTGCCACAGGAAAAGGCAATAAGGAAAATTCCTACACATTGCTTTTTACCTGCTTTCAGCTAACCCATTATTTTTAATTTGGGCTCATTTACCTAGCTGAGCAAAGCATTTTTTCTATTTTAGTACCCTTCACACCACAACAGGACTCAACTAAACTAGGAGGACCTCAATCCACACAAAGCCTTCTAGACACTCGCCAGCTGTCTGCCTACTGCGATGCCTACGGCTGGAAACTGCCCGGAACATCTTTAGAAAGTCAGTCATTTTGTCATAGGAGAAGGTGGAATGGCTTGCCTGCTTAGAACCACTCTCTCCCCTTCCTTATTTTTCCTTCATAGCTCTTATCACGATTTTAAATAACTATTTATGTAATTATGAATTTCATGTACCTCCCGTCAGACTGCAGCGAAGATAGATGGCATCTATCTTATTCAATGTTTCATTCCCAGTGCTTAGTGGGAGACATAACAAGTTTCTTGTCACTTAAATACTTGAATAAATGATTCTTACAAGCTAACTTAAATCTTTTTGAAAAAAAATGGAAGGATAGAAACAAATAAAACAGCAAGATCATATATCATATCAGGACGTATTTTTCCATGTGTGCCTAAATTTCTTGAATTTGAGGTAAGTATTCTTTGTCAATAGGAAGAATCTTATTTTTTTTTTTTTTAGAAGATATGATATGCTTTCAATTCCAGGCAATCAATTTACAAGCAAATCTTTGGAACAAAAGAATGCTTAAAAAGAAAATTTCTCTCCCTCATACACATAAACTAGAATCTCTTTTTTATACATATCCTGATAATATTAGATATAATATCATATTCTAAACAGGATCATCCTGGTTCTTACACTAAAGAATCACAATCTGATCCTGAAAATGTTTCCTAGATCGATTTTATCTAAGATAAATTTCAAAATCTACTCGATTAATTTATTAAAATATTTCTGGGTCCCATCTATGGGCCAAGCAATGTTTTAGGCATCACATTTGCCTCAACGATGTGTCGGTCACTCCAGTGAGGAAGGCAGACAAAACCAAAAAAAAACAATGTATACAATGCCTGGTAGTCACTGATGCTCTGAAGAAATCAAGCACAAGAAGGAGACACAGTGATGGAGATGGCGTAGAGCGCTACTTTTAGACGGGGTGCTCAGGGAAGGGAATCGTGTGACAATATGGAGTAAAAACGTGCCAGGAAAGGGAACCAGCAAGGACCCTTGCTGAGTTAGGAATAAGCCTGGTGCGCTCAGAGGACAGACAGGAGAAAAAGACCAATGTGTCTAAAGCAGGGAAGGTGAGGTAGGCAGGGGTGATGCCTTAGGAGAAACGTTTCGCCCTGTGCTGACCTACACAGAACAAGACTGGAAGGCAACCCACCAGGGCCAGACCACAAGCTCTGGGAAGGAACCCCAGCTGCTCCTTGTCCCAGGGACCCATCCATGCTGTCCCAGAATGAAGGCACACTCCCATTTTAAGGCTTTCTAACACTGATCACCATTAGTATGTATGAAGGAAGTTAAAGGACTTCATGCTCCCCTACTACGTAATAGGAAATGTAAGAACTCCTTATTTCTGCTTAATGAAGTGCAGTCTCCAAATATTTATCAATGAACTGATGTGGAACAGCATGTATTAAATTTAAGTTAATAAGGTTAAGTTAAGTTATTAAATTTAAGTTAAGTTAATAAGTTACTTAGTTATTAACTGTTAATTGATCTCATTAATTTGATGTCTCCAACTTCCTGCCTCAAACACAAAGAAAGTCAGTATTCCCTCCTTTCCCCAATAAGTGGCCACAAGTGTTTCTCCTTCATTCAGTCCATCATTCAATCATTAGTATGCTGATACCTGCTGGGGCTGGCACTGTGCTGGGTGGAGAAGATACAGTGGTTAATAAAGCTGATCCGGGCCCCGCCTCACGAAGCTCACTGGCTAAAGGAACTGTTCTTTTCCTAATGCCTAACAACTCACCCACTTAGAGGTATTTTGATTCTTCAGTTTTGACCTTACCACTGAGCCTCTTAGAGAGCCTTTAAGTGCCTTTCCCTAATACCTTTCCTTTGGCCCACGATGACTTTCCCATGTTGGGGGTGGAGGGAACTTTGGGAGTGTGACATTTATTCCTTCCTCTGGGCCAAGAGCTGCGCTAAGCACTTCCCATGCATTCCCTCAAGGCAGGAATCACAGCTCACACTGGCGGAGTGCGCAGGATGCTACCCAGACACTATTCCAAGCTCTGTCCCTGCATCACCTCACTTTATCCCTACTCTACCACTCTGGCTCTGAGTGATTTTACGACTCTTTCTTACAGATGAAACAGAAACCTACCCACAGTCGCAGCTAGTAAGTGGCAGAGCCAGGATTCAAACCCAGATATTCAGACTTCCGGGTTTGGACTTTCAAATCCGATGCTACGGAGTAGCCCTG